GTTCAGACGATAAAGATATGTTCAATCCAACTCAACTTTGTTGCTGCATTTCCGTAAATTGTTATGAAGGAAGTTTACTGCCTGAACATACCATTACAAAATTATTTTAATAATATATAAATACCATTCTAGTTTTCGATATTGGTGTATTTGTTTTAGTCAAACCACCTCGTTGTACTGTAAAATACTTTTCTTCGCTTGGAATTAAGTTTTTGCTATTTTTGCTGAAGGAATGATTCAGTGAAAATAAAATCCAGCAAATATACCTTTTTTCCTACATGTATATTTTACCTTCCAACTCGCCAAAAATCAGTGAAAATAAATCTCATACAAAACACCCAATTTTCAGTGCAAAATTAATTCCAGCTAAAATAAAGTATATTACAGTATATTCAATATATTAGTCAATGCTATTAGTATAGCTTTTTGCATTTCTATGTACCAGTGATGAGGATTGTAACTTATTAAGACAGTACATCGCAAGTTGTTGATGTCAAACGGATTTTTTTTTCAGATTCCATTCTCTTTTATCCAAATGCCTGCTTGGGAGATTTTAAAAGTGAGTCTGTATTTACTCTAGATAATTTTAATGACAGTTGTATGATGATCTGCATATTAAATTAATATAGTCAACTTCGCAAAATTGTTGACTCTCATGTGTGAAGCACACAATACTAAGGAGTCTTTGCTGTTCATGCTTCTGTGTGTGTGTCTGTTTCACTTATATCTCAAGAACCAATTATCAGATTTGAATGAAATGTGGTACATAGAAGTTCTGAGATAATTCTTAGACCTGATTAATTAGTTGCTGGTTGAAATCGGTGCATATTAATTACCTATTTTGCATATTAATTAGCCAATTTTGAGCATTTTTTACATGTTTCTGGAGTACATTTCAACAGATTTTAATGCAATGTCCAAAAGATATATTGTATAAATTTTATTTCGAAAAATTCTTAAAACACAGAACAGATCGGCCCACAGTTGCACATGATTCAGAATAAAATTGAATGCAGGATTAACCAAAATTTAAAATAGGTCAAATATAGGAAAGTAGTTAAAACTTTCCTGACAGTTTTCGTTAAGCCTGCGAGCATATGTAATATTAACAGAACACCTTAATCGAGACATATTTCCTAGTTTTAACTGGGTAATTTCCTTGGTGATTGGAAGACATCAAAGGTGTTGCTGACAGTAATTAGTGCATATTCATTCAGGTCAAAACTTCAATGTTCAACATTCGCAGGACTGTCACCCCCATGGATCGAATGGTATTGTCCTACTGTTAAACGCTAACCAAAATTAGTAAACAACATGGCGGACTCGACTCACTGGAATGCCTGGGCGTCGATCATATAAAGTGTGGATAGCTGCTCGAATTCGCCACTCTGTTTCAAATTTTGATCATAAACGAATATTATACAGTACAAGGATTGCTGCCGCTGCCCCGCGCGTTAGGTATTCCCCCCTGTTCGCTTCCGCGCATGCCCGGACACTCCCTCGCGTGTCCGCGCGTTAAGTAGTAGGACCGTTCAACATACACAACAACTCCCCATTTCACTAAAATCATTATGCTTGACTTGCCGTTATTGCACTGATGACACACCCACTTCCGATGGGGGGATAAATTGAATAACCATGGAAGAATGGTTTTTAGAATATATTTACATTTTGTGCTTTATATTGGTATTAATTGATATTTCAGAAATATTGGTCAAGAAAGAGAGGAAGACTAGTTACCCCATGGGAGTCTGCAGTATGTGGTGCTATAGCAGGTATTATCATACATAGATTGCATAGTCCATTTTGATCCTATAGTAAAATATAACCTTCATATTTGTCAACACATAAAATATAAAAATATGTGTTTTACTATTTATTTTTTATCTGTTTTATCTGAGTCTCTTCTAGTATTATCTAGGTATTTGTGATTGTTATACAGATCTCTGCTGGTGTTATTCGGACCTCTATGCTAGTATATCCTAGTCTACAATTTTTTGTTGCTGTTATTTTGGTCTTTAAAGTCAATGCCAGTGTTTAGTTTGATCTCCAGGTTTCTGCCAGTGTTACCTGGGTGTCAAGGTCTCTGTCTGTGTTATCTGGGTTTCTGTGTCTCTGTCAGTGTTATCTGGGTCTCCAGGGTTCCGTCTCTGTTATTTGGGTCTCCAGGTCTCTGCCAGTGTTACCAGGTCCTTGGGTCTCTGCCAGTGTTACTGGTCACAAGGTCTCCAGGTCTCACAGTCTGTGTTATCTGTTATCTGGGTCTCTAGGTTTCTGCCTGTTACCATGGTTTCTAGGGTTCTTTCAGTGCGAAAAATAGCCATGAAGATCAATGCACATAAATTTTAAATAAATGAAGAAGAATGACAATATTTGTTTTCAAATATAAGTATTGAAATATAGAATAACCTTGAATACAAAATGTTTCTTACCTGTTTGCTCTTTTACCAACATAATTTAATTTAATTTAAATTCTTGATAATTTTCACATTTTCTTTATTGTAGGAGGATTTTCTGCAGCCTTGACTACCCCATTTGATGTAGCAAAAACAAGAATAATGTTAGCAGAGGTGAGATAATAATTCATAGCATAATTTTTTTTATTATAAATTAATTAAAGTGCCTGTCATTAAAACACAAATTGGCTTTGTTCTCCCATTCCCTCAGTTGTGGGCCACAAATTTCATTCTGACCCCCATTCACTTTCTAGTAACCACTTCCAGGCTACCTCTACTCCATGGCACCCCACAGGGTTACCTTCACTCCAAGGTTTGTGGTCTTGACCTTGGCCTGGGATGCCTGACCGAAGGGCCCCCTGTCCATATTAAAGTGTTTTAATTTTTATGCTATCTTTAGTTTGTGATTTACTTAAGCTTAGCTATTTTTGACTTTGTTTAATGTTCTTGTTGATTTCTAGTTTTATTTTTTTTTAGAACAACCATATGCAAATGAACTGATGGACAACATAATGTTCACCAGAAAACATGTTTAAAAAAATAGTATGACACAAATACCGTAACTACATAACCCAAATGCAATCAGTTGGTAACTCAATACCAGTGATAAGTGATATAATCAATGTTTCGTTAGAGGCACATCTCCAATAGAAGTGTATATGATCAAAAAATTGCATTGGCTAGCTGTTTACTATATTATCAAAATATTACTTACTTTGACTATAGAAAAATCTCTTGTGTATAAGTGCATGCACTACTAATAGAGCAAATACGGTATGAGATAAATGCCATAATTGAATGATGCTAATGCATTGCATATGCTAATATATTGATGAGTTGTGTAATAATAATTATCTTTATTGCGTTTGTATCCCTATTAGGATTTTGATGTGAATAAAGACAACAAACAATTAAAGTGAGAATAAAAATACACACAGGAAAATTAAAAAAAAATGACAAGCAAATAAAAGTAGAAAAAAAATAATGGTAAAGTAAATTGGATTGTTTTCCATATTTGTGTGAAAAGTGTACTACACATTTCCTTAATTAATTAATCATCAAATTGTCATCATATCTCTATCCCAATTATTTTCCAGCTAAAAGATCTATGCAGTTTACACTTACACTGTTAATAAAATTGAGAATGAGTGAGAATCATTGCATTATAAGTATTTTTTGTCCATTTCAGCAAGGTTCCACAACTGCCAAGAGTAATATATTTCAAGTGCTTCAAAAGGTGGGTCAGCGTGACGGTGTTCGTGGGTAAGTTCAACATTGTAAGTTATTTATGTCATATCTGTATTGTGTTTATACATGTACCCACATGCTGATAGATTCACAAAACATCAGGAAGAAACTGAACTTGGATAAGATATAAATAAAAAAAATTAAGATAATTTAATGAATATTTTATTGTTTTGTAATAAAAATATCTGTGGTGGATGGTTTGTAAGTATGATATAAATAGAAGTAAGCATACCATCACAAGTACCTACTTTAGTATGCAGATACATTTTTTTAAATCCATTCCCTTCATCAAATTCTGTTTGTTTTTTTCTGTTAATTACAACAGAAATTGTGAATATGGTATAGAATCTGTAATTTTAGTTGATGATTCATACTGTAAATAAAAATGAGGATCAGTGGGTTTAGTGTTAATAGGAACATGATTACCATCAACCATTGTAAAATATTAAGGAATGGTAGTGTTATTTCTGATATTTCATAGCGGGATTAAAGTTGTTCACAAACTCAATGAACTGTAATAAAACACTGCTGGAAATAACACCATACCATCATCAATATACCTCACATTCTGGTTTATTACGCTGAAAAATGAGAAATTCCCTGTTTCAGTAAAAAATATTTAGAATTAAAAGAGAAACAATTGTCATTCAAAACCAATTACGCTAGGCACACCAAAACGTATGTGGGAGGATCCAATTAAACTGCCCTGTTATTAAGAAAATGTTGTTTAGCCAATAACCCATTAGTGTGCGTGATAGATGTACACAGTGATTTTACATCCATAGAAAATACAAATCCTGGAGTAAAATTAAATAACTTTTTTTAGCGTATTAGTAGTGTCACAAACGTATGCAGGCTGTGACAACACAGTAGGTCTCAATATCGAATCTAAATATCGAGCTATGTGCTCAGTCGGGCAATTACCTTGTGAATCTTGGGTAAAGATAGAAAACCGGTGTTGGATGTGTACTCAATGTAAGAATTTACTTTGGGTAAAACACCATTAGCCGTAAAACCATTAACCACCTCACCTATTTCCTGTTGTATTTCGATGGTGATATCCACATCAAATGGCTGGTAGGAGTTCGTAAAATCTCTGCGCCAAACTATCACTGCTCCACCTTTAGCAGCTGGTTTATAACAATGTCATTATGTCGTGACTTTAGAGAATCGAGTATTACACTCCAGATTTGTAATAATCAATATAATT